TTGTAAAAACAGGAAAAAAATCATATTTAGGTTTTGGGTTTTTAAAAATTTAATAAAAACAAAAAAAAAACGGGCAAGTTGGAAAAAGGGATATTTCAAAATTTGTTTAGGAAATTCTGCAAAAAAATATGGTTTTGTGAAACCACCCTTTGGTTTTTTTTAGCTAATTTTCAAAACCCTTTTTTAATGTCTAGCCATTTGTTTGCCCAAAGCTAAAAATATTTTTTAAAACTGAAAAAAATTTAAAGTTTTTCAAAATTACAGGGAATTATTAGAGAACTTTTTTTCAGGATAGTGCAGTACATGTCTTAAATAGAATCTTTCAGTGTTAAGTCTTTCTTTCAAACAATACCTTCTAGGCAAGCTATAGATAAAAAACATACATCTATATGTTTTTAAAATATTAATTACATGTATTTTAAATTCAAATGGTGTTAAGGATTTCTTACTTGTTGTGGTGAACTACTTGTAATCCTCTGTATGGGGTATAATGCAGACTGGATGATGTAGCACTCAGGGGGCCAATCAGATGTGTTAAGATTCACATGACTTTCATCAGCCCAATATCATAATGACTAGTGAGATGAGCGAAGTATTCAAAAATTCGATTCGACTGATTCGGGCGAATTCGTGGAAAAATTTTGATTCGAGTCTGAATATATTCGCTTGCGAATTTAAAAAAAATCAATAAAAAATAAGGGTGTTTCTAGGCTTCAGAGAGCCTTTATATTAGTGCATGAACACTGTACCTTTAATTTAAATGCCCTTGGAGTCTGCTGGGGAAGAGAGAATAATACTGACAGTCAGTAATGGGACATGCAGCATGAGTGCCGTCGATCTTAGAATCACCGCACACTTCACTCATTTGGGCAGTCACGGGGCCAAAACCAGAGTGTGGAGCCACAGTGTGGCGGTGGAGGCAGCAGCAATGGGAGGCCATACAGCAACCCCTATGACAAAAATGGAAACCACCAGCAGTGTGAGGAGACCTGAAAAGTGGCACATGGCAGAGTGTGGCGATGGAGACAGCAGCAATGGGAGGCCGTACAGGGACCCATGACACACTCTGGACCTGGCAGCAGCATGAGGAGGCGGTACAGGGGCCCATGAAAGATTACGGGCCTGGCAGCAGCATGAGGAGTTGGTACGGGGGCCCATGCAGATTACGGGCCTGGCAGCAGCAATTGGGAGGCCGTACAGGGACCATGACACACTCTGGAATCTGGCAGCAGCATGGGGGAGGCGGGGTACGACAGGGGCCCATGGACAGATTACGGGCCTGGCAGCAGCATTGAGGAGTCGGTACGGGGGCCCATGACACACTCTGGACCTGGCAGCAGCATGAGGAGGCTGGTACAGGGGCGCATGACAGATTACGAGCTGGCAGCAGCAACTTGGACAGGAGGACGTTCAGGCTTCTGCACCGTCGGGTGCGTGCTCGCACAAAACTGTTGTCTCTTGGAAACGGATTCCAGAGAAAGACTGCTGACGGAATCCGTGAAGAGGAAGTAGCAGGAGAAGGAGATCTGAACGAGCGGAATATGCCAACAAGCGACAACAGGGGCCCATGACAGATTACGGGGCCTGGCAGGCAGCATAAGGAGTCGGTACGGGGGCCCATGGCAGATTCTGCCAGCACCCTATGACAAAAAATGGAACCCACCAGCAGTGTGAGGAGACATGAAAGTGGCACATGGCAGAGTGTGGCGATGGAGACAGCAGCAATGGGAGGCCGTACAGGGACCCATGAGAGACTCTGGACCTGGCAGCAGCATGAGGAGGCGGTTACGGGCCTAGGGGCCCCCATGGCAGATTAGGGGCCTGGCAGCAGCTATGGGAGGCCCGTAATCTGCCAGCACCCTATGACAAAAAATAGAACACACCAGCAGTGTGAGGAGACCTGAAAGTGGCACATGGCAGAGTGTGGCGATGGAGACAGCAGCAATGGGAGGCCGTACAGGGACCCATGAGAGACTCTGGACTTGGCAGCAGCATGAGGAGGCGGTATAGGGGCCCATGGCAGATTAGGGGGCCTGGCAGCAGCTATGGGAGGCCCGTAATCTGCCAGCACCCTATGACAAAAAATGGAACACACCAGCAGTGTGAGGAGACCTGAAAGTGGCACATGGCAGAGTGTGGCGATGGAGACAGCAGCAATGGGAGGCCGTACAGGGACCCATGAGAGACTCTGGACCTGGCAGCAGCATGAGGAGGCGGTAATCTGCCAGCGGGCCCATGGCAGATTAGGGGCCTGGCAGCAGCTATGGGGGCCCGTAATCTGCCAGCACCCTATGGCAAAAAAATGGAACCGCACCAGCAGTGTGAGGAGACCTGAAAGTGGCACATGGCAGAGTGGGCATGGAGACAGCAGCATGAGGAGGCCGTACAGGGGGCCATGGCAGATTAGGACCCTGGCAGCAGCATGGGAGGCCCGTAATCTGCCAGGGGCTATGACCAAAAATGGCACCAGCATTAGGGGCCTGAAAGGTGGCACATGGCAGAGGCTGCCGCGGCGATGGAGATCTGCCAGCAGCAATGCAAAAAAGAGGGACCCATGAGAGCAGTGTGACTGAGACTGAGGCAGCATGCGGCTGGGGAGCTGGGGGCCCATGATTAGGGGCCTGCAGCAGCAATGGGAGGCCCGTATCTGCCAGCAGCAATGCGAGACGAAATGGAACACACCAGCAGTGTGTGAGGAGATAGTGGCGCACATGGCAGAGATGGGCGATGGCAGACATAGCAATGGGAGGCCGGTACACCCTGGACAAAAAATGGCAGCAGCATGAGGAGCGGTAAAGGGGCCCATGGCAGATTAGGGGCCTGGCAGCAGCAATGGGAGGCCCGTAATCTGCCACAGCCTATGTCAAAAAAATCCACACACAGCAGTGATGGTTAGACCTGAAAGTGGCACATGGCAGCATGCTATGGGCCATGTGCAGCAGCAATGAGGAGGCGACTCCCTGGCCCATGGCAGCATATGGGCCTGGCAGCAGCTATGGGGAGGCCGTAATCTGCCAGCACCCTATGACAAAAAATGGAACCTGTCCGCAGTGTGAGGAGACCTGAAAGTGGCACATGGCAGAGTTTGGCATGGAGACAAGCAATGGGAGGCCGTACAGGGACCCATTACAGACTCTGGATGACAAGGGGTTAGGGGCACCATGGCTGGGACCTGGCAGCTCTTCTTCCTGTCCTGGGCCCATGGCAGAGTTGGGGCCTGGAGCAGCTGTGGGAGGCCCGTAATCTGCCGCACCCTGACCCAAAATTGTTAACAGCATTTGGGAGACCAGGAGTGCACATGGCATGAGTCGTTCATCTGTGGACCTGCCAGCAGCACGAGGAATAGCGGTATAGGGGCCCATGGCAGATTAGGGGCCTGGCAGCAGCTATGGGAGGCCCGTAATCTGCCAGCACCCTATGACAAAAAATGGAACACACCTTTATCAGCTTGTGAGGAGACCTGAAAGTGGCACATGGCAGAGTGTGGGAAATGGAGACAGCAGCAATGGGAGGCCGTACAGGGACCCATGAGAGACTCTGACTGGCAGCAGCATGAGGAGGCGGTACGGGGGCCCATGGCAGATTACGGGCCTGGCAGCAGCTATGGGAGGCCCGTAATCTGCCAGCACCCTATGTCAAAAAATGGAACACACCAGCAGTGTGTGGAGAGAGACCTGAAAGTGGCACATGGCAGAGTGTGGCGATGGAGACAGCAGCAATGGGAGGCCGTACAGGGACCCATGACAGACTCTGGACCTGGCAGCAGCATGAGGAGGCGGTATAGGGGCCCATGGCAGATTAGGGGCCTGGCAGCAGCTATGGGAGGCCCGTAATCTGCCAGCACCCTATGTCAAAAAAATGGAACACACCAGCAGTGTGAGGAGACCTGAAAGTGGCACATGGCAGAGTGTGGCGATGGAGACAGCAGCAATGGGAGGCCGTACAGGGACCCATGAGAGACTCTGGACCTGGCAGCAGCATGAGGAGGCGGTATAGGGGCCCATGGCAGATTAGGGGCCTGGCAGCAGCTATGGGAGGCCCGTAATCTGCCAGCACCCTATGTCAAAAAATTGAACACACCAGCAGTGTGAGGAGACCTGAAAGTGGCACATGGCAGAGTGTGGCGATGGAGACAGCAGCAATGGGAGGCCGTACAGGGACCCATGAGAGACTCTGGACCTGGCAGCAGCATGAGGAGGCGGTATAGGGGCCCATGGCAGATTAGGGGCCTGGCAGCAGCTATGGGAGGCCCGTAATCTGCCAGCACCCTATGTCAAAAAATTGGAACACACAGCAGTGTGTGTGGAGACCTGAAAGTGGCACATGGCAGAGTGTGGCGATGGAGACAGCAGCAATGGGAGGCCGTACAGGGACCCATGAGAGACTGGACCTGGCAGCAGCATGAGGAGGCGGTATAGGGGCCCATGGCAGATTAGGGGCCTGGCAGCAGCTATGGGAGGCCCGTAATCTGCCAGCACCCTATGTCAAAAAATTGAACACACCAGCAGTGTGAGGAGACCTGAAAGTGGCACATGGCAGAGTGTGGCGATGGAGACAGCAGCAATGGGAGGCCGTACAGGGACCCATGGAGAGACTCTGGAGCAGCAGCAGCATGAGGAGGCGGTATAGGGGCCCATGGCAGATTAGGGGCTGGCAGCAGCTATGGGAGGCCCGTAATCTGCCAGCACCCTATGTAAAAAAATTGAACACACCAGCAGTGTGAGGAGACCTGAAAGTGGCACATGGCAGAGACACTGGCGATGGAGACAGCAGCATGGGAGGCCGTACAGGGGCCCATGGAGATTAGGGGCCTGGCAGCAGCTATGAGGAGGCCGTAATCTGGGCACCCTATGGCAGATTAGGGGCCTGGCAGCAGCATGGGAGGCCCGTAATCTGCCAGCACCCTATGAAAAAAATGTGAACACACCAGCAGTGTGAGGAGACCTGAAAGTGGCACATGGCAGGTGTGGCGATGGAGACAGCAGCAATGGGAGGCCGTACAGGGACCCATGAGCAGACTCTGGACCTGGCAGCAGCATGAGGAGGCGGTATAGGGGCCCATGGCAGATTAGGGGCCTGGCAGCAGCTATGGGAGGCCCGTAATCTGCCAGCACCCTATGACAAAAAATGGAACACACCAGCAGTGTGAGGAGACCTGAAAGTGGCACATGTTTGGGGCATGATTCATGGCGGATTTAGTCAGTTGTGTCAGGAACTGGTGGTTTGAAATCCAGACTAATCCACGCCTGATTCATTTTCACAAACGTGAGTCTCTCCACACTTTGGGTGGACAGTCGTGTCCTCCGCGGAGTTACAATACCTCCTGCCGCACTAAACACGCGCTCCGATGCCACGCTACTGGCCGGGCATGACAGCCTTTCAAGGGCAAATTCAGCTAGTTGGGGCCAAAGGTCAAGTTTCGTTGCCCAGTAGTCAAGGGGATTGTCTACCTCGGTTGGCAGGGTGCTGTCCAAGTAGGCCCAAGCCTGTTGTTTGAGGTCCTGCTCCAGGTCCACCTGATGCTGCTGCTGCTGCTGCGGCTGGTTAGTAGTTTCCTCACTGCGCTGGTGAAGAAAGCTACTCATCATCGACTGCAGACTGAGGCAGCCGCTGCTGGTGGAGCTGCCACTGCTCCTACCACCCCACCCCTCCCCTGCTGCCATGGCAGCGGAACGCGAGCGCACAGGGCCCCACAGTGTCTGAGGATGGACGTGGCGCACAAAGGCAGAGACCAACTGACTACATAGGTGGTTTTTATAGTACGTTATTTTGGCCTCCCTCTCAGCAGGTGTGAAAAAGGCCACCATTTTTGAACGGTAGCGAGGGTCCAACAAGGTGGACAGCCAAAAGTCATCCCTCTGTCTGATGGTTATTATTCGGCTGTCGCTACGCAAGCAACCGAGCATGCTATGGGCCATTTGTGCCAAGGAATGCGAGGGACTCCCTGCCTCCATCTCCACAGCATACTGCCACGGTGCGTCTGGGTCCTCTGTCTCCTCCTCCTCCTCTACCAGATGCTCCTGCTCCTCCACTCCTGTCCGCTGAGTGGAAAAACCACCCATTTCACTCAATAATTCCTGAGCACAAATGTCCTCCTCTACCTCCTCCTCTTCTTCCTGTCCTGCCCCCACAGGGGTCATGTGGCGTTGAGATCTGTGCGCCACGTCTACCGCACCCTGACCAGCCATTGTTAACAGCATTTGTTCCAGGACGTGCAACAGAGGAATGACGTCGTTCATCCCATAGTCCTGCCGACTCACGAATAGCGTGGCCTCCTCAAAGGGCCTGAGCAAGCGGCAGGTGTCACGCATGAGCTGCCAATGGCTGACATCGAAGTTACACAGGGGAGTACCTTTATCCGCTTGTAACATCAGGAAATCGGTGATGGCCTTTCGCTGTTCGTAAAGGCGGTCTAACATGTGTAGGGTTGAATTCCACCTTGTTGCAACGTCGCAGATCAGGCGATGCTGTGGAATTCCGTTCTGCCGCTGCAGCTCAAGGAGGGTGTGCTTTGCGGTGTAGGAATGGCTGAAATGCATGCAAAGTTTACGTGACATTTTAAGGATGTCTTGCAGTGGGATGGTGGATTTTAGGAACCGCTTGCTTGACAACCAGATTGAACACGTGAGCCATGCATGGCGCATGGCACAACCTTCCTTGACGCAGAGCAGACACCATGTTCTTTCCGTTGTCGGTCAACATGGTTCCGATTTTCAGTTTGCGCGGAGACAGCCATCTGTCGATTTCTCTGTTCATTACACTGAGAAGTTCCTCCCCTGTGTGACTACGTTCGCCAAGGCATACCAGGTGCAGCACAGCGTGACACCGTTGCGCCCTGCACATGTGATATGCCGGTCGGGTAATGGGACTTGGCACGGGGGGTGGCGGCTGAGGACACGAAGGAAGAAGAGGTGGTAGAGGCGGACATCTTTTGTGGACCAAGGACGTGCAAACGTGGAGGCAAAAGCGGCGTGACCTGTCCAAGTTGCTGGTGCGGCTGTGACGGCACCACGTTCACCCAGTGGGCCGTAAATGACATGTACTGTCCCTGACCGTAGTTACAGCTCCACACGTCGGCGCTGCCGTGCACTTTGGCAGAGACCGACATGCTCAAAGACTGGCCCACCATCTCTTCTACATGTGAATGCAGGGCTGGCACTGCCTTTTTGGCGAAGAAATGACGGCTTGGCACTCTCCACCGCGGCGCGGCACAAGCCATCATTTCTCGGAAAGGTGCTGAGTCCACCACTTGGAAAGGGAGGGACTGCAGCACCAGCAACTTGGACAGGAGGACGTTCAGCTTTTGCACCGTCGGGTGCGTGCTCGCAAACTGTTGTCTCTTGGAAACGGATTCCAAGAAAGACTGCTGACGGAATCCGTGAAGAGGAGTAGCAGGAGAAGGAGCATCTGAACGAGCGGAAGATGGCAACGAGCGACAACTCCCCTCAGCAGAGGTGTTGGAGCCTTGACTGGCTGATAGAGGGCGATTGACGTCGGGTGACGGAGCAAGTAACGGAGCGGGTGATGGAGCGGGGGCTGGGGCAGGCAGAACCGCCGTATCTTTATCACGGTTTTCCCAGGCCACCAAATGGCGACGCTGCATATGCTGCCGCAACGCTGTAGTCCCAACATGGGCCCCCTGGCCACGCTTGACTTTCTGGCCACATAGTCGACATACGGCTACGTTTACTTCCTCGGGCGGCTTGACAAAAAATTGCCACACCGCCGAGTAGGAAACAACTTGCCCCCGATACTCCTCACTGGCTGACTGCTGCTTCCTCCGTGCACACCGGCACCACTACTGGCCGTGGGTGGTAGGCTAGGCTGCAGTGGAGCTGGTGCTGTACTCCGTGGCCGTTTGCCTCCACTGACACTGCTGCGACCCTGCTGCCTCCTGGGCAACCCACCGACTGTTTTGCTCGCTGCCAAGCTGCCACCCTCTTCTCCTGATGATGCGGAAGCAATAGCCTGATGACGACGAGGCTGCCAAGTGCGATCAGCCTCATCATCATCAATTAGGGTCTCCGCCTCACTACTAGCCCCCTCGGCTGCGTGTGGGTCAGGAGACAGACCTGTCTCTAGACCGGCTACCGAGCCACTCTCCTCGCCACTACTTCTTCGCCTGGCTGCTGAAGAGGCGGATGTCTCCCCCCGTTCCTGACCGCCCTCTGTTAGCTCTTCCTCACTGTACAGTGGGGCTGAGCCCACAGCATGCGATACTTCGCTTGGTGAGGGAACACCAAAGGACAGGGGCAGGTAGAGGACACGTGATTTCAGTGGGCTTGCTCCCGGGCCATGCCAACTAACGGTTGTGTCTGACGTACCCACCGACCGTTGGCTGTAGGTGTCAGAGGTGACCTGGGAAGAGGAAGACGACGACCGAGCCAACCAATCGATGACGGGCAGGGTTGTCGGTGGAGACACGACCGCTGGATGACACCGGGGAGCACTGGCCTCTGGCTGCGAATAGTGCTGCCCTCGACCCCTTCCTCTGCTGCCACGTCTGCTCGCTCCTAAAACATTGCCTCCTCTGCCACTCCTCTGCATGTTGTCTGACATACTCTTTAATTAAACGATTCTGTGTCCCTGAGTAACAATTCTGTGTCTGTCCCTGAGTAACAATTCTGTGTCCCTCCCTGAGTAACAATTCTGTGTCCCTGAGTAACAATTCTGTGGCCCTCAGTAACAATTCTGTGTCCCTCAGTAACAATTCTGTGTCCCTCAGTAACAATTCTGTGTCTGTCCGAGTAACAATTCTGTGTCTGTCCCTGAGTAACAATTCTGTGTCCCTC